AAAAAAAAAAGTGATAGTTTCCGCAATACAATTCAAAAGTTATGATATTTTTTTTATGCGGCATAAACGCATAAAAATCATTCATCCCCCCCCCTCTCCCTCACCCTTCCCTATCCATGCTGAATTTTCTTCTTATTATCATTTAAAGCTATTAATCAGAAGATTCCCGTCATCCGCGAAATTCTCGCAGTCATAGCTTAGCGCAAGAGCTGCGTATAGTGCTACTAATAGAACTAAAAATTTGCTAATAGTGAACTTTTCGTTTCGAAATTTTCCCTACCGGAGTAGTCGCGTAGGTAAAAATCGCGACTATCGTCAAGTCAGGAGTTATGGGTCCAAATTTCCGTTCGTTAAAGCATGATCGCGGCTATAGTGATTGCCAAGTCGATAAAGGCATAACATTTATCGATTGGACATGTAACCACGATGCTGCGGCCGCTCCCTTTACAATGACCTATGGCTCGCTTAAGGCATATTCCCTGACTGCTTGATCCTGTTGAATAAAATAACTTAAGATTCTTCTCTCTCTCTCTCTCTCTCTCTCTCTCTCTCTCTCTCTCTCTCTCTTTAAGAGAGTGCTAAGGGCCATTGACAAGGTGACTGACTATATTTACAAACTAGCTATTGATTTAAGTGATACTACATCCGCATCTGGATCCGGATCTCAAAGTTAATTCTTAACATTTCGAATTAAGTATTCGAAATTTTATTAATTTGCTTTTATCCCTGACTAACCATTGATCCATTTGATCCATTATTATGAATGAATAAGTTTGTTTTGTTCGCTCCTTTAAGCTAATTAACGCAATCATTCACTTTATTAATTTATCGATTTTCCGTTTCGATAATAATTATAAATGTTAAAGTTAGGTTTTAAGCAAAAGTAAAACAATATTTGCGTGCAATCTTAATCCAATAACAATAATAACATAATAATAAAATTTACAAATATCACAAAATGGTAAAATCAAGACTTAATGCATATATAAAAACAAAAAACCAAAAACAAAAAACAAAAAACAAAAAACTGAAAATGTATATCATTCTAAGCGTAAATAGAATTAAAACAAAAAAAAAAGTAAATAATGATTTTTTTTTTTTTTAATCAAGCAGTTGTGGAAAATTTTTTAAAGAACTTAACAGTTGGATTTTAATTATGTTATGCTGATTGCAGAGTTAAGTACATTCGGAGCGCAGGGCTTTGCCAATTGTTGTCATTAGATAGATAGATAGAAAATTTTTTAATTTAGAACTTTTAAGGAATGTAATGAAAATTTTTTAAATTTAAATTTCGAATTAAGAAAATAAATTATAAATTTTTGTCAAACTTATTTAAAAAATACATTTGTTGTTGTTTTCTCTTTTTCTTCCCATCCTCCTCCCTTTCGAATATTTCAGTCATTTTAAAACAAAATAACGATTGAAAATGCCTGCGTATGTGTGCGTGTGTGTGTGTGCGTGTGTGTGTGTGTTTGTGTAAACAAATGCCTATGAATATTAATGCAAATTCATTTTTGTCCTTGACTATGCGAATATTTGCTGCTTTAACAAAACAAAACAAAAAAAAAATAAATAAAAGATTGAGGTTACGTTCGTAACCATTGATTACAAATCGGTAGACTCGGATATATAAGCGAAACTAAATTCTTGAAATATTTGTTTTGTTGTAAAAATTTTTACATAAAAGCCATTTCCTTTTAAATTACTTTCTCTGCTTTGATATATTATTTTAAAATATAAATAAATAAGTGAAGGAATTTATTTATTTTTTTTTATTTTTTGGCGCCAGATTGTCGTTGTAAGCCATAAACGATAAACAATGCCAACATAGTTATTATTTAGAAATGCTTCAAAATGGTAAATACTCCATAATTTCATGTTTTTTTTTTTTTTTTTTTCTTATTTTTTTCTTTCAAATTTCACGACTTGGTTGTGATGAGGAAAGAGCAAATTTTTTCTTAATTCTTGGTTTTACTTAATTTACGCAATTGTCGCGCGCGTGAGCAAAGACAAAAACCTAACCAAATAAAAATTTTCCAAAATTTTTGTCCGTTATTATTTGCTCTCTTTTTTTTTCTTTTTTTTTTTTTAACTTATTCTTTATTTACATCCTTTACGATTATCGCCTATTGTTTTTTTTTTTCAAATTTTCTCGACTACGCTATTTTTATTAAATTCATTCGTTTTTGCATCCGATTCGAAGGCGTGATTAGTGTATTGATGTTGCAATTTCATAGCCGCCTCGATATGATTTCGATTTCTTTGAATTTGTGTTGAATGCCATATGCCATACATGAAATATGCCATATAGCCTAAGGCAATCCATATTAGGAAACGTATCCAAGTGAAAACGTCCAATTGAAACATTAAATATAAATTCGCAAACACGCTTAGGCATGGTATTACGGGCACAAGTGGTACCTTAAACGTTAACTCGATAGTGGAAATTGGTTGCATTGCGATTATTATCATTATTAATATGAGTATAACGGTAAGAATACTTAATGATATGATACTAGGCATACTACCAAATTCGTAAACTTTATCTAAACTGCACCAAACGATGCAAACAACGGCAAACAATACAATACTAACTTTTGTTATCGATGAACTTAAAATATTCGGTCGCCGATATGAATTGAAATTGAATAGCTGTCTAAATATAGTCGACGCAGTTACGACTACAATTTCTTCGCTTTCGGCTTTTAAATCGTCTTCATAGCGTAACACTAAAACGCAAATAGCCACAATGGTGTAAGCCAACAGTGTTCCGATACTCATCATATCAATTAATTGATTCAGATCAAAAATTAAGGCCATAATAGCTAAAATTAGAAAGAGATAAAATATATTCTTATAAGAATCAATTTTACTTTTTTTTTTTTTGTTAGAATATTCTCGGTATAAAAATTTCAATTGCTGGAAAAGTTACAAAAAGTGCAACAAAAGTTCAAGTCTCACATGATCAAATGAAAATAAATGAAAATCTGCGGAACAATGGGCAATAATTTATCCTAACCATAATGTGTGCTTAGGGAATATGTGCAAAATTCGCCGACTTCTGAACTGTACATGCAACTAACTTAACTTTTTTGGAGTATAACCGCAAAATCAGCGATACACATAACCTTAAAAGCGACGCTCCATCTTTGTAGTTAGTGACTTTGCGATGAAAACACTTATCTCGATCGGTATGATTTCAAGAGATTTTTATCAAAATGATGATATCGCTGAGAATACGGTACACTATGAAACTGATCGCAGACACAATGCGTACGGTACTTGATTGGAACCATCACAATATTGTCCTCAGTTTTTTGCACTGCCACTGATTTTACCGGGGTAGTCATCTATTTGGACCAAAACGCATTTTTTTTTTTAAATATGTAAAGCGCATAATTTGTGACTGCAATCTATTCTATTGCTAATTAAATGCTTTGAAATTTCAAAAGAGATCGGAATGAATATCAAAACAGAGAAGAACCAGACCAAGAATAGTTCGAAGACACTTCTATGAGTGTTAAAATGTTTTGATTTGCTTGATAACCATCGGAGGAGAAACTTTGCCAGAAACTTTCCATACGTGAAAGTCTCGGAAATTATAGTTGTAGATAGCGTACGAGAGATTTGTTACGTCCGTTCGTGCTACAAGTTAAGACTTAGCGCGGTAGTATAATTTTAGAATAAGCGAAAGATGCTCGCTGCTAGAGATAGCAAACTAAAATAAGCTAAAAAAAAAAACGGACCCAAAAGTTTCGAAATATTTTGGTCTGCCGGTTACAACCTGCAGATGTCTGTGCTTAAGCGTAAGATGCCCGAAAATACTTCGACCGAACGCTCCCTGACATAATTAACACTTGAACACCGAATCGAAGACAATGTGAAGCGGCAAGTTATCGTCTTCGGCGAAGGGGTGACTTATCTAAAATATCTGTATTTCTGTTTTTCAACGGATCGAGTGCCTAGTCGCAGTGCATCAGCACTGAAGGGGCAGGAGTAAAAACTCGCTGGTGGTGGTTTTCAAGTGTTAAGTCATCTCTGGCTATAACTCGTAATAAAACGACTTCTAATTGTATGCTATATACTCTCCGCGGTTTCCGACTTACACATAAAATCGTTTCGAAATTTCTCTCAAGCATTTATACGTTGAACACTTTCCAAGGTTAAGATTAGGTACCTTGCCGTGTTCAAAATGATTTCATTGGCCTAACAAATGCGATGAAGCCGACCAGCTAACGCAGTCATCTATCTTTGAACGAATTTGCTTTACTTTTATTGCACGTCACTGTCAGGATTCACTTATTAAACTCATTACTAATACTTAAGGCGAACAGGCGAAAAGAGACCAGGAATAATAGGATTTACTGTTAAGCCGCTATGATATTTTTAATCTATATAGCGAGTGAAATTTTTCAATCTTTACCGCCACCCATTCGATTTACTTTACTATACTTACAAGCAAATACACCGGACACTATGGTCGCAATTAATGGCGTTTGCGTGCGATTATTTACTGCGGATAATTTCTTAAATATAATGCCGTCGTTAGCCATGGCGTAGAGTACACGAGGCAAGGGAAACATCGCGCCCAATAAGCTGGTACATAAAGCGAACACTGCGCCGAGGGTAACAATCCATTTAACGGTATTCCAATTTATGCTTTCAAAAGCCGTAGGAAAGGGTGCATTAGGATCCTAAAATTAACTAAAATCGTTTTTTTTATTTGGTATTTCAAAAATTTGTAAAACTCTCATACCTGGTCATAATAAGGCAACATCATCGTTAGGACCGTGGAAACACCGAAATAAGATAAGAATATGATAATCAAGGAGATGACTATGGCTAAAGGAATATTACGTTTAGGATTAATGGCCTCTTCGCCAGTCGTCGCGATACAATCGAAACCAACAAAACCGTAAAAACATTTTGCCGCTCCCGCCATAACGCCAGCGAAACCGTAAGGCATGAAACCGCCTTTACCGAAACCTTCAGGAACTTTATCAACTGGTATGAACCAGTTATTAGGATCCGCTATATTATATTTTATTAATTTCATTTCACCAAGAATTTTGATGTTTTCTTTAAACTTACCATTTATGCTGCCAGCTATAAGCACAATGCAAATTGTTATTAAATTAACGCTTGTGAAAATGTTATTTAAAAAACTTGACTCTTTAACACCAAAGGCCAATAAAGCCGTTAACAGCAAGACCATGGCAAATGCCAAAAAGTCAGGATATGCACCCAGGAAACCAACGTTTATTGGCAGAGCGCTGCCTAGGGCATTGGACATCTTTTTACCCAATAAAGAATCAAAATAACCGCTAAGGCCGCTAGCCACAGAAGCCGTACCTGAAATGATTAAAAAAAGGAAAAACTTGAGTAAAATCAGAACTCTCGATATTAATCGACAAACAAAATTCGAAAAATGCTACTCACCGATGACATACTCTAAAATCAAATTCCAACCAATCGTGAAGGCCACAAATTCCCCAACCGTTACATAACTATAAACGTAGGCACTACCTGCCTTGGGTACTCTTGCGGCAAATTCAGCATAGCATATGCCTGCGAATGCGGAGGCTACGGCCGCTATAAAGAATGATAGAGTAACTGCTGGACCAGCTTTATCATAGGCGACTGCACCAGCCAGCACATAGACACCCAAGCCCAAAGTGCTTCCCACACCCAATGCCGTTAAATCAAATACATTTAAAACACGCGCCAATTTTGATTCACACTCAATGACATCATCTGTTTTTCGCCGTGTCAAGGCATTCCATAAATTATTCATCTTACGGCTGGCAAGTGTTAATTATAATATTCTTTTGTTTAATATTTTTAACTGTAAGAAATTCACCAAAAATAAATTTTTATCATGTTTTGCAATATATTTCATATAATATACAAATAATGCCATACATTGGCAATAGAGTGCGAAACAAGTAATGCAAATATAAACTAAATAATGTATATATGTATTCCATCAACTTTATATATATATATATATATATATATATATATATAAATTCCATCAACTCTCCATCCAAAATTTTGGAAAATTTAATACATCAGTAACAAATGAAAGGAAGGACCGACGTACGGACAGATTCAAACATCTAAGCTCTTACAATGTTCTACATATGTATGTCTCTATTCTAGCATATTTCTAACTGAGAGATAAACTACATCTTCATGAATAATTTATATATATTCTTATAATAGATGTCTGTACAAGGATGAGGTTACGCTGCAATTAACATCTCTTGATCTCAGGTCGGGAGGCGTTTCGGACGATGTCTATTATATATATGCAAGAGTACATGCTTCCAAAGTCTTGCCTTACGACTTTACTTTTTATTGCTTTATGCGACAATTTCGCTCGACATTTGGAACTAGTCTGCCAACAGGGCATAAAGATTACTATACTGAATTCGAAAGTAAAATTTTCGAATCGTTATTTAAGTTTGCAGAAGTGAAAAACTTGAAGCAGAGTTAGAGCTGCAAATAGAAAAAAAGACGAGAGAACGAGAAGCTTGTAAACGCGGCTGACGCAAATAGAAAAAAACAACCAACAATTTTCAGTGAGAAAATGGACTTCATTGCGGAAGGAAAGAGAAATATGAATGAAAAATTTTTCACAGATGACATTCGTGAAGTCTTTAGAAGGGAAAGACTCTCGCGAGTAAAACAAAACAAATTTTTGCACCAAGAAAAGCTAGCGGCGGAATAAAAGCTCTTCCAAGTTATTGAAGAAAAAATGCAACGAATAAAACAATAATAATTTAATCCAAGAATTTTTTCACCGATAAGAACAAATTTAAGGTCTAACTCGAGTAGCTGAAGAACTCAGAGGAATGAAAACGGGATGAACAACTAAATGAGTTCAAGTCGAAAATGTAATCATTTGCTAAAAGTAGAAATCGATTTACTTACGAAAGGGAAGAAATATTTGGAAGAAAAACTAACTAAAGATCGCGTTAGAAGATCAATATGACGCGGCTGGAAGCTGAGTCTTTCGACCAATAAGAAAAAAAAAAGTTCAAAAAAAAAAACAAAAACTAGCTTTGCTTGAAGAAGAAACGTTTTCTGTGATTTGGAAAAGCAATGCCAAGCATTAAAGGATGCGTGCAAGGAAGTAAAAGACCGAGAAAACACATAATCACACAAACCAAACAATCAGAGAAAACCGCAAGCAATTAGAAGATGTGAAGCGAAAACTCTGCGCTTTAAAGTAAAAATTAAAAGAATTAGAAGAAGAGAAAAACTCTTTAGAGAGAGAGAGAGAAAGAGAGAGAGAGAGAGGAAGATGTACAAACAAGCAAAAAAAAAACGATTGCACAGGACACTGAGCGCAGGAAAACTGTGATCAGCGAAAAAAAATTTCGATTGTAACTCGACAACTGTTTAAAGAAATCGATCGGAGAGCGACTTGAAATTTTTACAATAAAATTGAGCAAATAAAGGAAAAGAAACTTTGCGTCATAGTAGAAAACCCGTTCAATAAATGCAAAGCAACTATGAAAGAAGTCTCGACCGATTGATCAATTGAAGCAAAAAAAACTGCGCGAAATGCCTGAACAATCCAATTTATAAGCATACACTTTGCGACACTTTGGCTGCAGGATAAACTTGACGCGGCATCTAAAGAATCAGGTTGATGCAATGAGGCTTTGAGCTATGAGGGGCAGCATTACAAGCAATTGCTTGACAACAAGTTGACAGGTTATGATCATCAAGAGATGACTTTTACGCGTGGGAAAGAAAAATGTTGTTTATAACGTTGCTAAACACTATCTAGGCAAAATACCTCAATAGATTCCAAGGCTTCAAATTAGCCGCACAGTAATCGACACAACTTTGAAGGCAATATTAGTCTCGATCGAAACGTATGTCAATCGAAAGTAAGTGTTTCTGATGCGAAAGAAAAAATTCCAGTGTTCACGATAAACGTCGACGTTAATTATCATCATATTGGGGTGCTATGCATGACAAAGAAATCATAACGATTCCTGCTGATAAAACTATGCAACTGTGAGAAATTGGATGAAAAACTTCGAGAATGTTGTTAACGTAGTAGTTTATATATATGTCAAGGTGAATTTACCGCTATCACGAAAAATATCGTATCAATATGAAATGTTATAAAGAAAAGCAACATGAACAGGCTACAAAATTTGAAGAAGCTTCACATGCCTGGGAAACGAGGAAAAGCCGGTTGGAACAATTGCTTGAGAAGCTACACACAGCTCACTATAGATATGAGGTTTCAGCAACATCAACAATCTGTCACCGGGATTGAGGTAAAAGGTTTAAGGAATATTATGCAATGAAAACAAAAAAAATTCGGTGTTTGCGAAAATTTTGATCAGCGACTTCTATAGGTAAAAAAGGACAAAAATATGGAAAATACCACTTAACATAATATGGTTGAACTTGATGGTTTTCACCTTTCTCTACATAAAATAACAGTTTCCCATTAAATATTATCGATTTATTCAGGGCGCGCCTATGCTACTCATGGAGCGTACTAAATTCTTCTTCTTTCAGACTCATTACTTTCGTTGTTTATTTGCACAAATCTGTTGCCGAAACTCAACGAACACGTTCAGTGGCTTAGAGGTGATGCCGTTCGGTTTTCGGTTCAACGTAGCGAAACGTATTGACTGAAAATGCGATTTTTTAGCCACTTGTCGCAAGAGTTGCCCAGAGTACACTGTTGCAAGTCGAAAAGGAAGTTCTGCCTTATCCAGTGCACTCATCAGACATGACGTCTCCTGATTACTACTCGTTCAGATCGGTGCAGCATGGTTCGGCTGGGGCAAAGTTGTAGAAATGAGAATATGGGTCGTTGGATGGATCGCTGCAAAACCCAAAATATAAGTTCTTCCGACATAATATCGCCATGTTAGTAAAAAATTATGGAAAATATTTTGATTAATATACGTTTTGGTCAAATTTTTTCAATAAATGCATTTTTCAAGTCAAAAAAAGTGATCACAATTTTTGCAAACACCTAATAATTAAAGATATGAGAAAAAGGAAAAATGTTTGCAAAAAAGAGAACAACTCGCTATCATCTTTAGACGTCGATCAATGAAAATATGAAAATGCCGCAATTGTCTGAAATACGCAACCTGCAGGAACAATTCAATGACTAAAGACTAAGCCGAGAGATTGATCCGCTTGAGCTCGTAAACTACACGTTCAAATGTTGAGTAATAATGTTTAGTTTTAGTTATACGATTCTCGTTGCTGACTATTTATCCTATATATTATATATATATTACACACACATTGTATACTTGTTTTGTTAATTTTTCCTCTTTTTTTTTTTGCCATCTTCTCATTTGATTATTTACTAATAACTGTTATTATCGTTACATTTAATTGCATTGTTTTAATTTTGTGTTGTTTGTCATTTCTTTTTACTATCATTGTCGTTAAATTATTTAGGTTTCCACAATTTATTCGCATGTAAATAATTCAATTATCTTATTTATTGCAAAAGATCGAAAATAAAGTTGACTTTGATAAGCACTAAGCCGCCTAAGACTACGTTATTGTTATAATATTTCATGAAGAGAAAAAGTGACGACTTGAGAGTTATCCCTTATACAAAGTCAATTCAATTTCCATATTAAAGTCAAAGGAATAATACGAACCTTACAGTTATATGTATTGCTCTTGTTTGTTGTCAATTTTGATATATTCATCACTAGTCTGGATATTAACTTGCTTGATATATTGATCGATAAAACGAGACTTTCTACTTTTTGATCTAGGGGCTTAGAGTGCAATATACTCATTGAGAATTACCGCCTTATGAAAATAGGTTAATGCTCATTAGTCTGCCCGTTAGGTATAAGGAGTTGTATTTATTGTAAAATTGATCAAAGTTATAACATTTGCACCTCTCGTCATCTCGTCATTTAATATATTTGCTGGACTGTGTCACTGCCGTGCAAGTTATCAACTTGAGAACCCTTTTCGGCTGCCTTTATATAGTGTGCAATGTTATGCTTTGTAGGTTTAATCTGTCACTGAATACTATGCATGCCGTCAGGATTTGCTATTTCCGGGATACGTTGCAGTTTTATCAATAAAAAAATACTTTTACTTGCTCGTACGCTTTACATAAGTCAACGACTGTTTGCTTATTTCAGTTATACGCTTGCTGGATATGCACGTATCCCTTTCGTTCCGTTCACTGAACTATTTCCAATTGCTATTGCTGCTCATTTCCTTAGCCGTAGCTTATTTAGTTGAGATCTATAGTGACAACTATTACTTTACTCCCCTCATCATTCTTTCATTCTAAGATATTTTATATCGGTTCATAATTTTCATTTCTAGCTGAATAAATGAATAAAGAAATAAAATCATTCAATAAAATGTTTGCAAATAGAAACTTGGATTGGGCGGACCGAATGAACAACATTCTTGTAATATCGTACAATAAGATTTCGCTTATCCTTCATCCATTATTATTATTATTATTATTAATTTCGCCAGATAAATAAATTCCAAGACTAAACTCTTAAAAGCACTAGCATCTAACGCTATCGGCTTTTATTAAAAACTCTATCGCACTTGAGTTTCGAACCCACGACCATTGACTTGCTAGTCGAGATTCCTCGCTTTCGGCTATTCAGGCGGATTATCCTTCATCCAAAGTTTGCTAAATTCCTTACAACTATTCACCAGATTCATATAATTAAGACAAAAATTATGGATAATAGTCTACAATTGTTTTAAAATTTGTTCATCGCTATAAGTGGTTACCAAATTGTAGTTCAGATGGGCTTTAAAAGGCACCTTTCAATTAATTTTTACATAAATCCGCTTGAGTGGCCGTGTGGGCAAGAATGTCGACTAGCAACCCAATGGTCGTGGGTTCAAACCTCAAGTGCGGTAGAGTTTTTAATAAAAGCCGATAGCCTTAGATGCTAGTGCTTTTAAGAGTTTAGTCTTAGAATTTATTCTCTGGCTAAATTTATAATAATACTAATAATAATAATAATAATAATTTTTACATTATACTTTATTTATTTTGCAACTATAATAACCTTTTATACCACTACACCACTTGTGATACAGTGTACATTAACTTAGTGCGGTCGTATGTAACATGCAGTAGGGCTTAAGATGAATCCACCGATCGATTTAGAATTATCTTTAGAATAGATCTAAGTCTGTCTGTCCCTCTGGTGTCTGTCCATGTAAATTTGTGTTAAAGCTATCGGGCGCAATTTTCGATATATTTTGATGGAATTTGGTACAGTGACCTATTTTCGCCCAAGGACGAACTGGTTCGTATCGGTCCACTTTTATGATAAAAATTGTAATTTTCCAAATTTCTCCGCAAAAGCGGCTAAGTAGTAGTGTTTCGACATTCTAAATTAGTATGAAAACTTTGACCAGCCTGGGGCAATTTTTGAACCACATCTCATATAGTGAAAACTGAAGTTCAGACCATCTACGCCTATTTTTGGATGTTGCCCCTATATAAAGATTAAACTTGTCCTACATTAGGTTTTGGGCCCGCTTCCCCTGAAATACGCACATGATAAATATAACTTTACATATATAAACAAGATATAATTTTTGTGTTCTATAATAAATATAAAAATTGTGTTAGACAATGTCGTTTAGTTGTATCTATGGTTGACCTCGCCCGGCTGCATGTTCTTACCTGTTTATCTATTTTTGTTCTATAGATTTTAATAAATATGTGAAAAAACAAAGGTTAATGGCGTGACCGTTTCGCTATTACAATGATGTGATAGTTTTACAGAGAATTTATGCAAAATGACGTTTTAAAAAAAGGAATCTGCAAATGCATAAAGGAATGAAATTAAATTTCAAGTTTAAAATATTTATCCAACTTTAAAACTTTTCGACTTTGTCTAACTAACGTAGTTTTCTACGTTTGAGATACTGGCTAAACGATCACAGTGAAAAAAAGTGTAACGAAATTACTTAACTATGCGTAGTTTATTATTATTATTTTTTTTTAATATTCTCTATACTCCCTACTGTGTCATCATCTCGATATTTCACTATGCCGACACTTTATTTAGATTTGATATTAAAATCAGTATTAGTTTGTGCATTAGCGCTAGCATTTGCTCTGTAATTAATTAAAAATGTCGCATGCAAACTTTTATAAAATATCGCATCCTTTTTTTACTAGATATCGTGATTGAATTTTTTTTATATATATAGCGCGGGACTTTTTTCCCAATTATCGCATGCGAAACTTTCAAAATTTCTCATTTAGAAAGTTTTAGGCTTCTAAGGTCTGTCTGCCACTAATAATATGCGCCCTAAAAGTTTATAGTTCCAAGGAAACTTGAAACCTAAAGAAAGATTATTATATGATCGTGTAATTGGATATACATTCTCCTTGAGGCGGTACGAATATGGCCCCGATTATATTCCTTCGTTAATATTATTAATGTTAGACTTCTATTTAATCTTTACAATATTATCCAGAGGCAGGCAGAGAGGGCGAAGAAGCTTTTTAATTTCTCTTGTTTTAGTAGATCACTTCCCAATAACAAGTCGTTGATTCCTCGAGTTAGTTGCTCTTTGGCCAAATCATTTCAGTTAAGAGTTATAATAGCTTATAATTTCCTTCTTAGGGAGTTACAACAGTTGCAATAGATGCTCTTATCTCACTTAAAAACATAAGCTTTTAATTTTCGCCAATAAAAGTGAGTTCAGATACTTAAATAAGTACTAAGATGAAAGTGTGAGTGTGGTATGTGTTCCTTTCCTACTAGTCTAGTTCCGGATTTTTCGCTTTTTTTCAGAACATTTTGTATTATTGCACCTATGGTAGATATTGTCATCTATTATAATAGGCCTATTATAGGCGGGTTTGAACGTCAATAAGTAAGCGTCAACTAATACAAAAAAAAAAAGGTCATTATAGATTAACTATGTACCGCTTTCATCTGTAATCGGTGCTCTTTCTCGATTGATAATCGCAAACCATTGCAATAAATTTTTAGTATCCGTCACGTAAGAAAGCAAAAATTATAGATGTTGAGAAGAAGAGAATTTAACTCGCTAACCACTCACGAAAAAGGAATAATAGCCAAATTAAGCGAACCTTTTCGGCGAATGGCGTATCTTTAACTTCTTACGCTCTTCGCAGGATCGTATTTAACTGATCGGATGTTTGTGGCATGAGTCGACAGGTATAGGGATCGAAGCGAACAAATTAACTACATGTATTCTTAGACTCTATCGGACTAGATGGGGCTTGGGCGATATTTTTGATTTGTGCACAAATTCATCGACACTTTGTAGGATCTTTGAAATTTCCTTTTGGCATTTATTGTTTTTGCTTAAACAAAACGAATGTGCGCTCAACCTTGGAGTGATGGGATAGGAAAACCATGTGAGTACCTGTGCTTAATTATTTTTACATTACGTTACACATACAACTATTACATCCCTCTTATAAGTACATTTTTATCGAATAAGTCAAGTGTGTAAAATGTAATTCATTTCAATGATTGTTTAAATAATAATAACAAGAATTTTTCGACGTAACGCAATACTATAATAATTTTATGACAGATTCGCGTTTGTCTTATTGCGCATTATTTTATCTCTTGTGTAAAATGTAAAGTGTGTCCATATGTCTGTCTAATTATTGCGAGAAGAATCTCTTCGCCCACTGACTACTTTTACAATCATTACTGGCATCCCGATAAGCATGAATCAACAAGTGTTTTACTTAAGAAACTCGAATTAATACACGCACATGTCCGTATAATATGTGCGGTGAAGGTATTCGGGATTCAAGTAAGTATCGCTGCTATATGCGAAAGTTTGATGTTTTCATAGAGTATGCAAGACTTTAATAGCTTGTTTTTTTTTCCAGAAAAATGATATGCGCCACATAGTCGTTGAAACAAAACGAAAAAGTAAGCCCCATAGATATTAAGCGTGTCGATAAGATCATCAAAATTGCAAGGAAGTTCGATCAAGGATCCATTTCGCATTATCAGTTTTGTGATTATCGCATCTAAGAGACAGGGGGACGGACCACTCTTGAAGCGATTGAAAGTTTTCTTCAAAAAATTTCATTCGAAATTTTATAATAAATTTTTTTTTTTTTTTGCAAACCCAACAACACACCAAGAAAAATAGATTTTTTTTTTTTAAACAAAATTAAAATAAAACAATTTTGCATATAATATCATTAACTAAGATGAAGAGAAAATGTAAATAGTTGTGTTAGAAAACAAAGAAAATTTTAATTCAATACATAACTGGTTTTGAGATTTCAGTTTCACTCTATGAATAAAACAGAATTCTTACTTCGATCCTCAACATCTCATTTTGTCATGCCCTCTGTTACAAGCGAGAAGATATACCAAAAGGATTACAAGTTTTTTTAATATGATAAATTAAAGATTTACTTTCAAAATCGATTCGAAAATCTTATGGGATTTTTATATATATATATGTAAGCATATTTTTGATCAGATTGAGATTTTAAATCAATTTTATCTTAGCTCTGTTGTCCGTTATAAAAATCTTGTTCAATTTTTAAACATATATACACGTATATGTATATATATATATATATAAGAATCGAGTTCTAAATCGGAATACATATGGATATGTATATATATATATATATACGTGTGAGTGTGTGTATGTGTCTATGTGTTAAGGCAAAAAGAATGGACATAACGTTTCCCCATAAGAGCATTGAAGGCATTCGCGAAAAAAATAAATAATAAGAATAAAAATACACTTGACATCAATAGTTCAGTTAAATTGAATTTTCGCACAAATAGAATATGGTTAGTAGTAATGTAAATCGATCCATTTCATTTGGAGGTCAGGCAGGTATCGAAGATTCGTATCAAGGTGAATTGTTGGAGTTTTGCTTGCTTGGAGTTTTAGTTTTTATTATTGTGAAAGTTTTTCAATTGTTTGTTTTGTTTATTTCTTCACATAATTTCTGATTGATTGTGTGATTATTCATTCTATTTATATATATATATATATATATATATATATATATTTCTTTTATTTCTTTTAAAACTTCTTATTTAATTCCATATTGTTTATAAGCTATTTTAATATTGATATGACATGAAAAGATTTTTTTTTTTTTGTTTTTTTAATTTTTTTTTAATTTTTTTTTTTTTAGATGTATAGAGAGATAATTGATAATTGAATTGGATATTCAACAATAGCAAAAAGATATACACGAACACATTTTAAGCCGTTCAAGTAACCCTCAGATATTATTACCTTTATGTTATTAAAAATATTGCCTTGATTAAGAAAAATATATTTGTTCAAATGTTAATTAAAACAATATTCTTGTGTATGTATATATAGATATAAATGTATATATATATATATATTTTGTAGCAGTTAATAAAAAATCAGAGAATTTAAACCGTACGCGACACGCTCTAAACTTGTTCTGAACGTTAACGTAAAAAACATTAACATTAAAGCTTTTTTTTTTTAACCTAACGATTAAGACGATCACATTTCTTAACTGATATTGGGAAAAAAAAAAAAAATATATATATATATATAATAAAATTTTTGTGTTACCGCTTTGTTATTGTAACTCCTTTAACTTACAAAATCAATAAGGTACGCAGTGCTTGGAACAACACATTGATTGTACATAGATTTCGTGAATTTTTTTTTTTTTTGTCGATTTTCGTTTAATTATGATTAACAGTTGTTAAACACAAGTAAACGAACGAATGAATGAATGAATGAATGAATGAATGAATGAATGAATGAATGACGTTTGTTTTGAAAGAGAGACCAAAAATTCTAAGAAACAAATATTTAAAACGAAATATAGAGGATCTTGACATTTTATTATTTTACTCGCTTGCATATGTAATACAATATAACAAACAATATGCGCTCCAATTAAAACACTATGTCTGTTTTATTATTAAATAGAAGTTATATATATATATATATATGTATATAAATATAAACTTTAAGCGGTCTTATCAAAAACGATTAAAACTTTTTATATCACAATCTCAACGATACAAACATTATGATATGAAATGAATTAACATTTGCGAAACATGATAGCGACAAAAGCCGCACCTTTTACATGATTCAAGCATAGGCTTTTTCTGCTGCCCCCTCTCTCTTTCTTCTATTCTTTAAATTTACCCAAATTTGATACAGTTTCAATACACACCACTCCAGAACAACTTCCATCATATGATGAGTATATAAAAAAAAAAAAAAAAAAAAAAAAAAAAAAAAAGCGATTTCGAAAGCATTGCATCTAATCACATTAAATTATGTTTCATTACGTGAAATTGCGCTTCCAATGCATCATGGCATTGAATTGAATGCAATTCAATGCATGATATTCTTTTGCGGCATGATTTCATTGCAATCATCCTTAATATGCACCAATCGTACTGATCTTTTTAATAGAAATATGTTTTACAAATAACAAAAAACAAACTTTGTATTATGAAAAATCAATTCGAAAATCAACTCAACTGTTTACAATGATTCACACAATTTAAGCCTCTCTAAAATTGTAGAAACTGTAACCAAAAACTCAAAAATGCTACATATATACGTAGTTGTAGTTGTAGTGTAGATCGCATTCGAAAAGGAGACATCGCTTGCCCAATAATTTGAGAAAATAGCCTTTCTTTGCTTTACACTTATCAATTACGACCCGATTTTAATAAAAAAAAAAAAAAAAAAAATTTAATTCATTATAGTCGAATAAGCCGAACTCTTACCTATTCTAAGGCAATTCGCCTAATACAAAACGTGTTAGTGTATGAAATTTCAATAAAATATTTTAAAAGTTACTAACCATAGATTGAATCCGAAAACAAGGCAGACTAACCGATAGACAGGTTTAAACGCATTGAGCAAATGATTTCGCAATCGATTGGTATATTAAGAGGTTGATCTTTCACCTAAACTTGTCAAAGTCATTTTGTCCGTATGTGGGATTTGGGCACAAAAAAAAAAAAGAAAGAAATTAAAATCTCATTTTTTCGCTCCATTAACACGAATTTTCTACCCAAAAAACGTTAATAGTTAACGATAATCGTTATTTACTGCTTTCATAAAGACGAAGCCGGCATAACCAATAAAAGTTTAATATGCCAAGAAATTTTAATAAGAATCATGCTTTATAAGATAAAAAAAGTGAAACGTTTAACGTTCACGGTCATTATGCCCGCAAAAGATAATAACAGTTTTCAAAATTTCAATACATTTTTTAAACTGAAAATCTATTCAAGCGTAAGGTTAATTTATTTTAAATTTTGGGAATATATCTCTAATATCTGTTATGGGTAGGTATAACCGTACCGTCCTACCATAATGAGTAGAAAAAAAAAAATAAAAAAAAAAAAATACGTTAACGACTTTCTTCTCTGATTTTGTAAAACATTTTTTGTTTTTTTTATTGTCTTAAAACACCTGCCAAGCACGAGACAACGGCTTATATTATAAATAATTCTCTCTCTAAAACGTATTTTTTTCTTGCCTCCTATCTTTTGTCTTATTTTTATGAAATCATATCGATCAATGTCTACCCATGAATGGCATATATACCTATAAATTTTCACTTATATATTATTTGTATTCTCTTTTTACACAACGAATAATGACGTCATATAAAATTTTTAAAAATTTTTCATCTTCAACAATATAAATAAATAATTATCAATTTATACTGATATCCCATATTAACAGACCCGCATTGATACCCGTATTTAATACTCGCTTAAAAATCATAAACTTTTTTTATTACTCGCTCACATAAGAGGATAAGAACCTAAAGTCCATAGCTATTTACTAATTATGAATAAACGTATGAACTCTGAACTAATTCGATTGATATCTGCAGTTAAGGGAGGAAGCGATTATAACAAGCAATTCTCGCGAGGCACCATTTACTTAGAGGACCCGCTAAGCGCGACCCGCGAACTGCGCCACATTACACCCGATGCAAATGTGAGCCAAAATCAAAAAAAATTCCTTTAGAGGGCTATGGCTATTGATTTTTATGTGACTGACGCTTGTGCTTGAATGGAAAACATCAACGTTCGGTCAATCGTCTATTAGAAGAGAAAAGATCTAAAATGCATTTATCGAGGGTCCTGCGCTAAAGAATATTATTTTAAAAATATTGTAAACAGCTCGAGCGAAATGGGTAAAGATTGACAATAGTCTTCCGTGAGAAATCTGTGCTTCGAAATTTTGAACCCTGTTATAGACGTGTTTTTTGTTTGCTCTACGAAACTTGTTAATAAATTTTACCATTAATGTGCAATCCCAGAATCATAGAATCGACCTACGGTCTTCAAATGTTCTTCCATTGATTCCCTTCAAAACGATGCCGCTTTTTCTTCACTTACGCTTAAATCTGGTAGGTTGACAAAAGCATTGAAAGCTTTTGCCTCGCTCTCACGCTCGTACGATCTTCTTGATAAAGCTATAGTATAGCAGATGTGTTTTGTTTGGCTATGCACTTTAATGAATATGAACAATTGCTAAAAGCATATGTGCGAGTTTATTGGAGAAATTAGAAACCTTAAGGGTTAGGACATTAGATATAATATTCCAGCAGACATTCGGCTGAGACAAGTAGAATACTTTTCGGAGCGCTTATGTTAGATAATGAATTTTTTCCACATCTTGTAGCAAATTCAAAGCATCTGTGAGGGAAATTAAGAAAAGAATTGTTTTATGCAAAAATTAAGAGTAAATTCCTCTTCTATCTTAACCTGTGTAGAAACCTAACCTTAATCTAACCTAACCTTCGTGTTGGTAAACAATCAGAAGAATCATTCATTGTTCTGCTAAGCAGACAAATCTCGTATATAAACTTTGTTCTTTTAATATGACTCATCAGGGAGAGAATGTGTCCTATTTGCTGACGGTCAGGTGGGTGTGCCTCTTTACTGGCACAGCACTTATTATAGCTGCGAGCAAAGTAAACTCCATTACATTCGAAGATTTGCTTACCTACTCGCCGACTTATGTGCCTAGAAAAACCTATGGACTTTTAACGGTTGTTCATACATTTTTCTCATATACATCAATGGAAGTTTATTACCCGGTACCAGGGATCGAAAAAAAGAGCTCCATAGCAAACATGCGCCCGAACGTTTATTAGAGATGTTTGAAATATCTGCGGCCCGGAAATAGACACCCCCCCCCCCCCCCTCCTCCATCATTGGCTAATTCACACACTTAAGCAAAGAAAACTTATTGAGATGGTGGATAAACAAACTAGTCATAGATTCTTAATTTACTTTTTGTTTTATAATTTTTTTTTTTTAAATAATTATAAATGCTTGGGCGCACGATACTCTTCTGCGGTCATGTATATGTATATACGCATGTAAATAATTCTGTTTATAATGTATATAATGATAAGGAAATAGTTGAAAATTGTTAGAAGACAGTATGTCATAACTACGAAAAAAGAATTCAAACAGTTTTGTTGCCTTAGGGTCGAATACGTGTTACCCTCTATAATCAATAAAATATAATTTTTTAATAGCATTTAGCGAATTATTACCTCTTTCTTAGCTTTTATTTTGATTTTTTATTTTCTTTATTTGTTTATATTTGAAAATTTTATCATATTAATTTGTTGTTGTTATTATTTTCAACTTAATCGAGAGCTAAGAATATAAGTAAGCGTTAAGTAAGCGCTTTCCATTGCAACTTTTCCGAAAGGAACGGAAAATAGCGAAAGAAACGAAGAGGCGAACATGACCTGAAAGCGTTATATCGATGAAGAATTTAGATACATATATATATATATATATGTGCTATACAGGATTAATGTTGTTTATTGATTGATGTTGCAAAGAGGATAACGAATGTAATCGACTTTTATTCGAAAGGGTTGACAGGCCTTATTTATTGCACTAAATCGACATGGAATATACCGTTATTTATTACCTCGCGGTAGCAATAAATAAAACGAAATGCCTAAAAAAAAATTTCAAAAATTTTTATTTTTATTACTTTCTGTAGCTATCTTACAAGCATAAGAAACGCTTATTAATCGCTTTATCACTTCTTATTAAGAAGGTATGAAAGATCGATTACCGTCGACAATCTACGATTAACTATTGATGTGGATTTTCTTAATTTATCCCCCCCCCCCCCCCTTTTTCTCCACTCCTCCGGCAATTGAGTAGTGTAAAACAGGAAGAATCGTCTTAATAGCCAATAACTTGAGGCAACAAAATGTTTTTCCCATCATAGTATGACACTTGAGAGAAACCGCCCCCAATATCGTGGGATAA